ATGTTAAGTCAGTGGAGAAGTTAGGACAGTATGATTTTCTCCTGTATCGTTGAGGCAGTTTCCAGAGACCAGGAAGAAATATTTGTAGAAACACTTGATCCTGGTAGGATTCGAACCCGTGGCCCTATAACGGCACGACCAAATGATAAGCCACTGCGCTGCAGAGCCATCACACTTCAACTCTTTTATGTGCATTAAATAAAAAGTTATTTTTATTTTTCTCGGTATATTAAACTTATCGCTATAATGAGTACTAGATAACACTGTTTTTGAAGTTTTTTACAACCTTTAAAGCCAAACTCTGGTATTTTTTACGATCTATAGCTTTTATTATAATCAAAAAAATTTAACTATATGGAAGCTTTCTTAAATTTACGCGAACACTACACATTGAATAAAACTATTATTTACGGATTTTATCGCGTTTAATTACTTTAATTTATTTTTATTATTATCCCGACGTTTCGGGTGCTTTACAGCGCCCATGGTCACGGGGGGACTGAGATGTTTGACGTCCCAATGTCATAGTTAGTCCGGCTACCTTCAGTTTTTTAATAATCGGACCAAAAATTAATATTAAAAAACTGAAGGTAGCCGGACTAACTATGACATTGGGACGTCAAACATCCCCGTCCCCCCCGGACCATGGGCGCTGTAAAGCACCCGAAATGTCGGGATAATAATAAAAATAAATTAAAGTAATTAAACGCGATAAAATCCGTAAATAATAGTTTTATTCAATATATGGAAGCTGTAAAAATATATATTCAGTCGGATTTAATGCAAATTCCAGTAAAAAAAAAAGTAGAAAAATTATTACGGTTTACGTGATGAGTCTATTAGTCGAATTTTATTTTTACAAAGATATAATAATAACTTTTTCACCATCAACTAAAATCTGCTACTATGAATAGTTAAACCGTTTGCGGCTATTTTATTACGACACCACAACATACCGCGTCACACGATATAAAATGCCAAAACATGCAAAGGATTCCTACAATGATAAGGTATTATAATTAATGGCGCCCTCGCAGCCTGAGGCTCAGTTTAGAGACCAATATGACAAATGATAATTTCTGTTCTTTACCTTTATCAATTCTACCTCTTTTAATATTTTGTGTTATTAAGATTTGTGTTTTTGTTGTTGAGATTTAATATTTTTTAAGTATTTAGTTTAATTTTCATTTAATAAAAGCTAACAAAGCACTCTCACACAGCATACCATCTTAGTCCTCAGAGGTGAAGACACATCTGTATTTCGTTTCTCAATCAAATCTATATATTGTAGAATTTAGATGACAAATGACCTCAAGTGGAACTTGTGCTCAATTGTCACCCTTATATAAAAAAAAAATTCTATAAAAAAGCTTAAATAGTTAAACTATTTTAGATATATGACTGCGCAGTGCTGAGCTGCCCGCCAGATAGGAAGAAGTTTTACTCTAATGAAACGTCGTTTCTATGGTTAGATGGTAACTAGAGTTATTTATATTATCGATTATCGTATCATATATTTGTGACGAATTTCTAACGGTAAGTTAAGGTAAGGTAAGGTAAATTAATACTTTGTTTAATAATTGTTAATATAAATACATTCAATTTGAGTGCATACAAAGTGATCCATTTATATATATATTTTTTTACGTAATGAAAAGTTATATCGGACTAGAAATAAATTATTAATAAAATCAGCAAAATTGCTATCATCATAGGTACAATAGCAACATAAAGGTAGCTCACGGCAGAGAAATGTGCAAAATGTTATAAAACCGTGTAATGAAGAATTGAGTAGCGCAGTTATCCGTATTGTCATATTATAAAAAATTGTTATTCAACGCGTTAGTTACAAATATCTAAAGAAGTTATGTAAAATAATGTCATTAAAAAATTATTATTATTAGGTACTCCCGCTACCATAGTGCCGCAAAACAAAATGTAACTTTAATAGCAAATATGAGACAAAAAAAGAACGAAAAAATCAATCAAAATGCCAATGAAGACTATACATCATATTAAATTAAATAAAAAAAATAATAGTACCCATATACGTCCCTCTGTTTGGCACAGGCTCTCACTCATTTTTGAGGTTTGGAGCAGGCTGTAATCTGCAACTGCTGTTCAAATATGAAAGTAATATGCGCTCGAAATATTGAGCACGTGATAAGCCAGTGCTGTCTTAAAATTGAAATAACAACTTTCCTTACGTACGATGAAATTTTTAAGGCGAATTTTTATCAATTAAGCTGCCAGTACTCTAATAAAGTAGATTATTAGAGTTCTGGCATTTTAAAGTTTTAAAGAAAATTTAATGTGAACACGTTTAAAACTTTGATTATTCCAGAAAATTTCAACAAAATTGCACCAAGTTATGATTCTTCTTCACAGTCGTCAATTAAATATAATTTCAAACTATGGTACAGAGGAACACATGACCGATAACATGTGTGAAAACTTCGACGTGAACGTTACCTAAACACGCGAAACACCGTGTTTTGCCAGACCGTCAAATCTAATTGCGGGAAATTGAATCCCATTAATAATAAATACTTTTTGATTAAAAAATGTAATGAAGATGCCCCCGAATTCAGAAGCTGTTACTCTGAAAATTATTTCAATCTTTCAGTTCTTTGAAGTAAGTATTTACTTTTTCCTCTTATGACACCCACGAGATCATATGGGGTGGTGGCACAGAACACCTAATATTTTAGCACGCAAGCGTTATGAAGATCTATATACCAGCCCACATAGAACTCAGAGTTCTTTTGGAAGCGTATAAGAGTCTTGAATAGAGATGGTAGCCTTATAAGAGTGGTTTATGAGTTATTATATAGCTCAAGCTGTATAAAGTCTTGTTATTTTGAGGATTTAAGTAAGATCAGGGTTCTTCAGAATACGAAAACTGGTATACAACTTTTTTTTATATAGGAGAAAGGAGAAACGAGCATACGGCTTTCCTGATGGTAAGTTATTACCGCCGCCCATGAGCAACTGCAACACCAGGGGGATTGCAGATGCGTTGCCGACCTTTTAAAAAGGAGTAGGCTCTTTTCTTGAAGGTCCCCAATTCATATCGGTCCGGAAAATCTCTGGTGGTAGTCGATTCCACGAGGAAGTTGTGCGAGGTAGAAAACTTCTTTTAAATCGCACGGTGGTGGACCGCCAGTCATCCAGATAGTATGGGTGGTATCACGAGTTTTGTCGCGATGTACGATGGTGAAATTGTGCGGCTGGAATTAGCCAGAACAATTCCTCAGAGCACTCCCCGTGGTAGATGCGATAAAATACGCAAAGAGATGCAACATCCCTTCGCAGTGCTAGTGAGTTAAGCCGATCGGAAAGAGCTCGGTCGACGACGATTCGAACAACTCTTCGCTGGATACGATCAAATGGAAGGAGCTGGCACTGGGGAGCTCCGACCCAGAGATGGGAACAGTATTCCATGTGTGGCCAAACGTGCGCCTTGTAAAGTTTTTTTTTAGTATTTTATAACACTTGAATCTGATTTTATCATTAAAGCTGTATAGTAGCTAGTTATTGCGTGCTATTTCTAACTTATACAGCTCTAAATGGTATTACAGTATCACTAAGATCTTATTTCTGAACAAACGTGAATGATCTGAACTCCCTTCTGAAAATTATTTTTATAGCGTCGTTGTACACTTTTGTATTAAAGTAGTTTTATGACTTCTGTCTGTGGGAGTGATAAAAATTAAAAAAAAAAGATTACAGCAATAGTACAACTTAAATCTGTATCCAAAATTTGCATGCGTTTTGTTTATATTGTGCTAGTGAACGAAATTGTAAATTATGTTAAAAAACTGCTATACAGCGCAAGTAATAAAAATATTCTATTATAGAACTGATAATAAACAAACGGCTGCATGATATACTCCATAACATACATAGTTACTACTACTATTAGACCCTCGAAATACTGACTCCAAATTGTCACCATTTTAAAACCCATAAAAACAAATTTTTAAATATAATTTTGGGAATATCAGACATAGTCTTAGCTTATACCATTACTTTTAGTTTGGCTAATGGTCACTGTGCCCCAATATGCCATCATATTAATATTTTTTATTCTAACCCATTCAACCAATATCTAGTTACCGTATTTAGTATTTTGTCCTTATTTTTATTTTGCTGGCTCGACAATTTTTTATGGAAAACATATACAAGTTCACTGTAAATCTAATTTTGCACTTTCAATTCACCAATTATTACCTTCAAAACTCAATACGTTAAGATATTAAATGTCGCCATCATTCAATACATTATATAAAACAATCTAGTCCTCAAAAATAAAGTACCTTTTGTTTTATATTCATTTGTGATTCTGTCAAAAACCAATTTAGAACGCTTATTTTTAAAAGTTACTTATAAGACAATATCTGTAGTTAAATAGATTCCTTGCAAAGCAAATAACAATGTATACAACGTATACAGCTTGCATGCTGTTTGGGCTATTACATATGTAGTATTTAAATGGATGTTCTATTGTTAATGGTTATGATGACTTACTTTATTTTCATTAAAGACCCTAGAGTTTTAATTTAACAACTATCCAGAGTTAGAAGGCACCGAACTCCCCGTGACTCTTGAAAAATGTAGACGGTGCCATCCTTTAAGATATATATCTCCAATACTTTTTATTCTTAATAACCCTTTCTAAACCTGATTCTATATCCCACAGACAAACCCTCGGTTTCTCCAAAAGGGTCACCGAAACGTAACCAAAGGAGAGAGGAGAGGTGTCTAAAAGTAGCCCGTGTAGGCCTTTGTGGACCCTTGGACCCTTACCTTACGTGATAACCTTTATAGGACGTTATGAATGGGTCATTTTGTCAGGAAGTAATTCGCATTGTGTATAATATAGCTTAAGAATTCACAGAAAAATATCTGAAATATTTCAATGGTTTCCTTTTCTTCGTTAATCACAATAAGCTGCAAAAAAGAACATGAATTTAAATATAATTTCAACGGGAACCCACCTGAAATAATCGTTCTTGCAAAAAATATTGCTGTCACGGGCATAACATCTCTGTTCCGAGTCAAGGGGCATCTTGCACTCGCAACATCTGAGGCAAGGCGTATGCCAGCGTCGTTCTAAAGCCAGCAAATAATATCTATCCGTGATCCTGGATCCGCAACCGGCACACGCGTCTTCTGGCTGGGGGGCTGGTGGATCATCTGGAGGCTCCCGTTTTCGACAGGAAGTGCAATCGCGGGGTGAGCCGGGAGATGCTGCGGGGGCTACCGGTGACAAGTCACCCCCACCTTCATAAGCCGAAGATAGATACCGCTCACTCTGTTGCTGAAACAAAAATGAATTAATAATAAAAAAGATTTTCTGAACATTACAAATTCAAGTTACACTCCAGTACAATAACTAATAGAACGTTAAGATCGCACTGAACTGTACATACACTGTACAGTAAATATTATATTATCACGTAATTTTGCACGCAAGTGTACATTTGAGCTTTTTAAACATAACACATGATTGCTCATAGAATTTTGTGGCTAGCGCTATAAAATTGGATAATGACAACGACGAAATTGTTATTAATTTATTAAATTAAAATAACGGTGTATTTTACTGTTGTTTTAATTTATTGTAGTTTTTGTTAAATTAAAATATCAGTGTATATCACTGTTATTCTAATTTATTGTGAGGTATTGCTAAATTTAAATAACAGTGTATATACAATAATAAAACAAATTAGATAGTAATATTACTATCTAATTTATTTTAGGTATTATTTTAATTACCGTTTTGGTTTTATAGGGTTTAGGGTTTTAAATATTCAATTCTGAAGCTATTTTACAAAAAGAATGATTAATTGAATATTAAGAGACAGGTTAATATAAGTTGCTATTATAAAAAATAAATATAGATCTTAAAAGAAAAATACACGAATATTCGAATAACCAATATTTTTCCTATTCTTTTTCTACAAAGTATTTGAAATATCCTAAGTTTTATGTTTTTAGTTAAAATAAATTTTTTTTAATAATTTTAATGTGCGATTTTATGTAAACTATTAAATATATATCTACTTAAAGTTTTTTGCAACGCCTCTAAAATTTTACTAAGTCATAAGTTCCACTTATAATAAATATTAAAACCGGCAAATAAATACTTGATTATACTATTGCACGTTTTATGTATGAATGGAACGGAATATTATACTACAGTTTTAAACCAATTCCAGACGTTTCAATAAATTGAAATTTCGCAAACGTATTGAGAACTAATCTAATATATAAAAAACTAGCTTGCCAGGCAGAAGTTGTTCTGTCCTTTTTGACGACCCTTTGTCATGTCCTATTAAAAACCCTTAAATTCGCAAAAAAATTGTGGGTCACTCATGTGCAAAAAAACTATCCTATCTCTTAAGTTGGACCAAACTGCACACGGTGTGCAAATTTGATTAATATCAGTTAAGTAGTTTAGAAGTCCATCACGGACAAACAACGTGACACGTAATTTATATATATTAAGATTATGTTTGTTTGTTCGTATTTTATGCCGTTCGTCAGATTGCGCTAAAACTTTGTCAACTTTTGCTTGCACTCGCACGAAGGTAATAAGGCATAGTACAATTAACTTACAGTTGGTGGCCCGCGTATTGTACCAACAAATTTATTTGAAAGTTATATATCATTCAATATCAATGAATGTAATAACATCCATAATAATTAAACAATATAACTCTTCCAAATTTAAAACAAAATTTCCACAATTATTTCTTCTGCGGCAGCAACGAGCCGGCCACCGGGCCCTAGCCTAGTGGGTCTCCTCACTAGGATCATCACACTTCATGAGCTATGTGAATTGTTTAAGTGTTCTAAAACTCTAGTATTATATAAATTGTTTTTACGCTAATTTGCTAAAGTACAACATTTCACACGACAACTACAAAATATTTACAAATGGTAGACTGCGAATAAATTAAAGTCACTGAACCAAATAATAAATAAGGAGGAAATAAAAATCCTAGCACTTATCATTTGCTTAGCAGAATAATTAAGATACATGTAAATTAAATATATTATTATATTCAAATTGTTTGAAACAAGTTTTGTTTGCTTATATTCACACTTATTTTTAATATGGGTATCTTACATATTCTTTAAGTTCTTTTCTTTCAATAACGATTTCTTATGTTTACAGCAATACTATACGTTGAATAAAACAATTTTTTATGTTTACAGCAATACTATACATTGAATAAAACAAATTTTACGGATTTTATCGCATTTAATTCAACATATTTTATCCCCCCGTGCCATGAGTGCTGCAAAACACCCGGAACGTCGTCAATTAAATAGGTAAGTCAAATAAGTTTTTAAAGTTACTTTAAGATATGTTGTCTTCTTGCCGTAAAAGAGTTTTACGTTCATAATTTGCCTATGAACATACTTTCAGTCGCGCAACAATTGTTGGCAGGCCAAACAAATACTTTTTCCATGTAGGAATCAAACCAGAAACACACAGCTCTACAGTCAAACGCTTAACAACTGTGCTACCCAGCTGTCATTAACTAAATAAATTACGCTTATAGATATATAACACTAATGAAGCGGCGACAGATTTTGCCGTAACAGCCTGGCCACGGGACATTCACCGTAGCGAAAATTCGCGCGGCGCGAACGGCGAGGCGTCTAGCGACTAAAACAAATGTATAGAAATGTATAAAGCATGCCACGCGTAGCGGCGAGTGGCGAAGCGACAGCAAAATTTACCGGGCGAATCGCGCGGGCGACTGGCGGCGCGGCGGGCGACTGAAACAAATGTATGAATCAGTACGGTGCAAGCCACGGAGTCGGGCGGAAATCGCGGCGGCAGACGCGGCGAATAGTATAGGGAACAAAATATTTTAGTTGTTTTCGCCGCGAAAAATGCCGGACCGACAAAAACAACTTAAAATTCTATCCGCATTGACTTTTATCTCCAATTCTGGTTGAATATTAACAAGAATATAATCGCAGGTTTCAACTCTCATTCTGGTATTTACTCGAAATTTTTTTCTAGATGCATTCTATTTGTTGGGGAATTCTCCATCTATAACCCGATTCCTATTCAAATCAAATACTCCGCAACTTCTCCAAATATTATGTCTTGAATCAAAAAACAATTACTTTCTAAGAAATATCGAGATAACTTTGATAAAGACTTTTCACTCTCGGCCTCAAATCGCGCCGCGCGAATTTTCGCCCCGCCTGTCGCTTCGCCGTTCGCGCCGCCGATCCCCGTGGCCAGGCCGTAACGACGCCGATGCCGACGTTTTCATACTCGGTGGAGTCATGTTGCACCTTTATTATGGCTGCACCGCTACTGGATCGGTTTGACCGTAGAGGGAAAACGCTCACACAGAATGGCAGCTAATGCTACTGTGTTTAGTATGGGGAATGTAGAGACATTCGGATATCCTTTTTACTGGAAGCGAGGCATTCCATCTTAGTGATCAAGAGTGAAAACGCATCTCTACAGTTTGTTTTTTAATCGAGGATAGATGTGTATGTGTTACAGTTAGTATCAGATGGACTGTGTGCCTCCCTTATTTTATAAAAGTAATAACGTTTTCGATTTCATTGATACAATAATATATTTTATATTAAATTATTTAAAGTGTTAGTTTTAGTAGGTACATAATACATTTTCCGTGTTTCGAGAAATAACGAAATATGAACGATCTTATGGCGTACGGAAATAATACTTACGATGAGAGTAAAGAGGGATTGGAAACCGCGAGAGCTCATTAATTAACCTTCAAGGATAATTTATAAAAGGTTTTCTGTACGTTACGATGCTTACACAAAAATACTTTATTTGTTGGGTCATAAGTACTTGTTGTTTTCTATCTACTTAACAATGTCAAGGTTTAATGAAACAACTTAATAATAGCAGGGTTTAAGAAACCCGTTAAGAGTTATAGGCCCTGAACTCGAATATTAGTTAAAGGCCATTTTACACCTGACGAACATGTTGATTTCAGAGTAAATGCACTGTAATGTAATTAATACTCGTATATTTAATAAAAAATATAAAAATAAGTAATAAAACCGCTGGCAATGATGCCACCAAGCTATTTCTAATTTGTTTAGTGTTGTTAATAGTTAACATACATGATTGTAAGCTGTTTTTTTTAAGTCCCACTGGCTTTTTTGCTTGTTCTTCCCAGGACAGAAGTTTATTTTCCGAACCAATAGCAAATTAAACCAAAGAATGACTTTCAATGGGTATTATTTAAAACATCTATGTATTTGAATAAAAAAATTCTGTTTCTATTTCAAAATATTTCTTCAGATTTTACTATATAAGCGTTTCATCTAAAATAAGAAAAAATTAAATTAGAACATTTGTGCATTTAATAAGTAGATATATTTGAACATTATTTTCAAATGTTAAAACCATTATATTTAGCTAAATTAAAGTATATTTCAATAGAATAACTTAATCCCAACCTTGTGCGTCAAATATCTACTGAACTGTTAAATTAAATTAGGTTAATGCAACTTAACCATTGAAAACTTGGAACTGAAGTAATAGTAATTAACCATTTTTGGCATACATATTATCTCGTACTTATAAATAAGCTCTACTATATTCCAATCCATAAATGTCACGTGTAATAAATATTAATATTGTTTTTATAATCAAATTACTCTACATTTTGTCGTTTTATTTCGAAGTTTCTCCATATTGCTATATTTCCAGAAATTAATTATAATGTACGTAACCTAAAAGAGATGATCCAAAATCACATGAAGGTCCGTTATATTAATGACGATATAAAAGCATAACGCGTTTGTATAATATTTAATTAGGATATACCCGAAGCATTTCACTATCTATGATATATTTGAAAAGTAACGGAAGCCGCTTAAATATGTTAATTTAATTTTTATTAATAGCCTCTTATAGGGAGCCTTCATGGCGCCTAAAAACGTTTCTGGTTGAATCAAATTAAATATGCATTGACTTCTTATTACAATATATGTACGTTCAAATTTTACTTGAAAGTTTAATTATTTTTTTGGTCTTATGATAAGAGTTCCTCAACCCCACCTTTACCTTTGGTATGTACTTAAAATATCTTTACTATGAGCCTAATAAAAGTAAATTAAGAAAACCTCAAATAAATCATCTAGCCTCCAACTACTTTGTGCATAAAATAAAATAGACGAACGGTGTTTTAGTATTACGTTTCTTTCTTTCTTTCTTTCTTTCTTTCTTTCTTTCAATCCGCCTACCAAGAGTAGGTGGTAGCAAAGCTTCGCGGTTGCCAAAGACGGTAGACTGCTTAT